CATCAACTTCAGTCATCTACGCAGCATTAGCTATGGCGGACCTGGTCCTGGTCAGAAAAATACCAAGCCCAAATCCCGGGTAACTTTTCTTCTATTATTTTCATGCTATTAATCTTCTCACAGTTGGCAGTATATTCAAATAAAATTCGACCCAAAACCAAAAGCTTATCTCGTTTTGCATCATTGGTTTTTAAATTTCAAAGCTTTGAATTAGTCAATGGTATCAATATCTCCGTTTTGCTATGTTTCTGTGAGTTTCTGGCAGTTCTGTTTTCTTTATTTCGTATCCAAGCTGTCCGCCGTATGAATTTTCACTTTAGATTCTGAATCTGGTATATTTTGTTCTGAAGTTGTTGGAGCTTATTGCTTTTAGTGTTGAATTGCTTGAAGACTTGAGATATCAGTTCACTTTGTAGTGTTGAAGCTGTGCTTTCAATATGTTGGGTTGCTTTCTGATTCAATTTGCTTTCTTTTTTTATGCTTGCTATCAGGGGGAGTGTTCCAATCCTGCATAAATTTCTGCCGTTGTGTTGTAAGGGGTAAATTACAATTGTAGTGATTTTTGAGGTATCGGGATGCATCAATCAAGAGTTTGGACATACGCATTTGTTTTCGCCACCTTCCTGTGCTGGTCTTCGCCACGAGCTGGAGCACAAAATTCTAATATCACCCATTCTGGATGTTGGGCAAATTTGTGGACTGAAATTAAACCTGCTTTTCCAGTTTTGTGTGAAAAAACAAAATTTCATGAGTCATGAAGTCTATTATTTTGAAAGGTGGGTCATTTGTGTTTCGAGCTTGATCCTAAAGGGAAAATTAGCCGGTTTTCCAATATTTGGCAGATAATCATTAAAAGCTTTCAAAGAGGTGGTTCATATATGGTCTACAAAATGTGGTATTCCAAACATTTTTCTTCTATTAAGAGCTCTTTTTTTTTTTGGTAAAATTATATATAAGCGTAAGTGTTATGTATAAAATAATCCTAATCAAACGTCAGACTGATAAAGAACTAGTCTTAACCATTATGCATAAGAATTGACCCAGTCCATTCAAAATATTGGATTAGCCCAATGGTCCCAAGGTCCAGTTCATAGAGTTTCGTTTCTTTCTGTATTTTTTGGGTCTGCAAGCTTATGGCATGAGATTGGTGAATGGTGATGAGTTTTGAGAATTGAGATCCACTCCTGATCTATGTGTCGAATTCTACGAAATTAGAGATCTGAACTACTTAATTTCAATTTTACAGTCCTCATTAATCAATCGCACTCGCTTGGTCCTAACCTTTCTCTCTCTTGAACGGTTTGGATTTTGGGTATGCGGGTTTTGAACACAAAAATTATGAGCGGATCTCAATCCGAATTTTGGTCCAAAAATCTTAGTTTAATTATATGAAAACTAATTAGCCGGCCACACCACCTCTCAAAATAATTATATTGTAAAAAATCAAACTCAAAATAATAAATTGATAGCTTCATATTCACGTGACTATGAAATTTCTAAGTGATTCAAGGCAAAAAATAAAATAAACAACAAAATATAACATGCCAAAAATAATATATATAATAGTTGAAGCTATAAACAAAAAGTCAATGTGTCGAGGTAAACAGTTGAGAATCAGATATTAATATTCCTTGTTTAAAGGTAGAAGAGTTCCATTTAACTGTATCTCCTTGTAATTAGGCACAAAAGCTTGACAGTCCACACGTATCAATTAAACATTACCTAATTTGAGGAAATTGGATGATTCTTTGCAACTTTGTTATATTATTTGTTACATATAAAAGAAAATTGTACCCCAGATTCAACGTTGGAGCGAAACTCTATCTATGGAGGCCGATGCCATGGATTTTTATAAAAATTGCGTAAACATTTGTGAATGTATGCCACGGCTTTGACCATGTCTGTAATACATGATCATAATTCTAATATAACGTCACTCTCGCTCATCGCTTGAGCTAACTTTGCATCTTTCAGTTTAACGCATTAATGTAATTATTCGGCTAGAATTAGATATTACCAACAAATCCAACTTTGATGGTTTAAAAATTTGTATGCCTAAACTCATCCACTACTATATAATTGATCCTAAAATCATATATAAATTTGATTTCATATTTCATGAATTGAGTTTATCTTCAGATCTCTGTCTGGAGTCCGCGAATTAAGAGATTCAGACTACTCAATTTCAATCATACAATATTTATTAGCTCATCTCACTAACATACCTCACACAAACTAAAAATCTAAATCTCTCTCTTCAACCGCTCAAATCTCTAAAATCTTTGAGCTTCGTACACAGAGCTCTTGAGAAGATCTCTCTTCATGTTCAATAGCCCTCGCTTTCAAAATTGCCGTTTGGTTATTTATTTATTTTACATAATAATTTTTAATTTTTGTTACGTGTGGTTGAATTGCAGACTGCAGGTTTTGTAATCTGCTGATTATTGAGAGAAGGATAGATAATAACGATTTAGTAAATAAATAATATTAATGCATACCATGTATATAGGGCCGGACTTAATAGACAATACACATGTCATGCAAAAACATGCGAGGACTGAGTTTTACATGTTCCCACTCGCCACGTATTGATTATTATTCTTGCAATAGTTATGTTAGGACTATTCTTGCAATAATTAATAATTAAAGCTAGTGTTTAACACCAATATCTTGTTTCTTCTCTTTTTTTCTTAAAAAAAAAACACCAATAACTTGTAGATATGAGCTTTTCGAGTCGGTAGGAGCAATGTGCTTTTCCGTTTAAAACTCATTTTTACATTATAGATAAATTTAGTTTAGAATTTCGTGTTGTTTGTCAGACAATTAGTAAAGCAGGAGCGGCCACAATTACAGATAAAATGAGAAAAAATTGGTAAAGATCGTTTGGACATATAAACGGATGACCTACAAATGTTTTGGTTAAAAGATGCAATTATGATATAGATGCTCACCGTAAAAGAGTAGATGAAAATCTAGGAAGACTTGGAAAGAGGCTATAAGAAAACACAAGAAATAATTTGAGCTTACGGAATATTTGACGCAAAATCGAATGCAGTGGTGCTTTAAAATTCATAGAAACGACTCTCCTTAGTGGAATAAGACTTTGTTATTATTGTCAAACAATTAATATTTAAATAACTCAATGGACGGTCTTCGTCTTGCTAAACGATTGAATTTTAACTAATTGCCTTCTTTAGTCATGCAGTTACCGCCTAGTTAAATAGTACGTCTACTTCTTGTTCTTATAGGCCAAGCTGGTTTAGTTGGCCACCTAATTATATTGTGTAATACTTTGTGATTTACCTTTTCAATACAGTGTAGAAAAGAGATAAAGTTAATGAGATGTGGATAATTTAATCACCTTTTAAATATGGAGTCATGGACTTCTCTTTGTTGAAACTTTTAGCAGTGTTTTTGGATTTATAGGTCTTGTTTTACTTTGTCTTATAATTTTTAATCCGGTTCTGAGCTCCCTAAATTTTTATTTCGTTCGTGCTAATGCTCCTCTACCATTAGTTTTATCAACTATCCCGTCAAACTAATGGTTATTTTGTTAATTTTGCATAACGAAATCATTTGAATTTGCAGTAAATGTGTAAGTTTCGGTTCCTCTTTTCTTTTTTTTTTTTCTTCTCATAACTCAATTATCAGAATTCTTAATATTTACTAATTTGTGTTGTGAATAAGATAGCATTTTGTTGATGTCTATAAGCCCTAAAAGTTATATTCATCATAGGTGATGGAAATAACTAAGAATTGTGACATAATTAATAGTTGGGAGGATATTGACACGAATTGAAAGTTTTAACTAACGGATTCAAAACTAATTGTAAGTTTGAAGGGCAAATCGAACATTGTCCAAAGTTCTAGGAAAATTCTTGTGTCCACTCTTAACACGATGGTATTTGTACGCTCATCCATGCATGCAATCAAGAGAGACTGCTTTGTTGAATAGGCATACATATGAACTCGTACTCCAGGTAAACACAAAAATCCTCCCCTAACCTGAAACGAGAAGTTTCTCCTTTGTTTACTTTAATCAAACTAATTTTCCGAGAATCTGATTCCTGATAGTTAGTAGACACTTTATTTGAATGCGACTTCTTTTCAGCATGATTCGTGATAGATAATTAATAAACGCCATTATGAAAATACCGCTGCGTTCACTTTGATCACTTCAAAACTCGAATGATGTTCACTTTGATCACTTCAAAACGGTCTCTCCCGCTCATTGGGTCGTTGGCCGTTTCCTTAGACGTCAGTTTCTTGTCTTCCCCTCCTTGGTTGTAAACAATTACAAACTCTTACCAACTCCCTTTTCGTTTATGCATTTTTTATACAAAGAAGATTTCTCTAAATTGTAAAATAAAAAAATAAAAAAAAAAGAGAAATGGAAAAGGATGGGCTGTATCATCATCGCCCTCATCAACTTCAGTCATCTACGCAGCATTAGCTATGGCGGACCTGGTCCTGGTCAGAAAAATACCAAGCCCAAATCCCGGGTAACTTTTCTTCTATTATTTTCATGCTATTAATCTTCTCACAGTTGGCAGTATATTCAAATAAAATTCAACCCAAAACCAAAATCTTATCTCGTTTTGCATCATTGTTTTTTAAATTTCAAAGCTTTGAATTTGCCAATGGTATCAATATCTCCGTTTTGCCATGTTTCTGTGAGTTTCTGGCAGTTCTGTTTACTTTATTTCGTATCCAAGCTGTCTGCCGTATGAATTTTCACTTTAGATTTTGAATCTGGTATTTTCGTTCTGAAGTTGTTGGAGCTTATTGCTTTTAGTGTTGAATTGCTTGAAGACTTGAGATATCAGTTCACTTTGTAGTGTTGAAGCTGTGCTTTCAATATGTTGGGTTGCTTTCTGATTCAATTTGCTTTCTTTTTTTATGCTTGCTATCAGGGGGACTGTTCCAATCCTGCATAAATTTCTGCCGTTGTGTTGTTGTAAGGGGTAAATTACAATTGTAGTGATTTTTGAGGTATCGGGATGCATTTGTTTTCGCCACGTTCCTGTGCTGGTCTTCGCCACGAGCTGGAGCACAAAATCCTAGTATCACCCATCCTGGAGAAGGTGATTTTGCTTATGTTTTGTGAAGCTTTGAATTCTGCATGGCTTTCAGGAAATTGTAGTACAGGGAATGCCCGAGTACAGTTATTATGGTGTGAGTTCGGTTTAGAAGTTTATCTATTCAGGTGTATGGCTGCTTTATGTGCTGACACGGTAACTTCAATTGACAAACGAAGTGACCGATTTCTAGTTTACTTTCATCTAGACGAATTGATGTCTATATCCACTTCCAGTACATACATTCACTCGAATAATAGTCTTGTGATTTTCGACTCATTTCTAACATATAGCATGATTTTTGACAATCCCTTGTTGCTTAATTCTGATATGCTCATAGTTGGTCTCTTTTGAAAAACTTAGTCTGGTTGTGTTAATCAAGTAAGGTTTATCAATTGTGTAAAATTGCAGTGGCCGCGCTGCGGGCCATCAAAAGCAGTTTGGTTGATCCCAACGAGTATCTGAGCAAGTGGCATAGAGGAGACCCATGCACAGCAAATTGGACAGGAGTGTTTTGCTACAACACAACATTAGATGATGGCTATCTTCATGTTCAAGAACTGTATGTTTCAATCTTTCTAAATTTTACCTGTACCTTGCAGCAGCTGACTGAATGGAAATATTTTCCCTTTGACCCTTACCTTTTCTCGTTTCATTTTGTTCCCCGTGTGTGGAGAGATTTAATTCCCATGTCCTTGGTTCCAAGTGGTCTTAACGAGCAAATTTCCCTGCTCATATGTGATTCCATTATGAACTTCGTAGAAATATCTGAATGAAATAAGAAAATCTGCCAATTATGATCCTGTTCCGACATCAATCAATAGTCATCTAGGGTTTACGGAATCAAGTAATGATCAATGTCTTGCATGAAAAGTATATTTTGTAACCGTTGGAAGCATGTTGAACTTTTAAACTTAAGAGTAGAGTTTGGCTATAATGACATGTTCTCCTTCTTTACTGCAGGCGACTACTAAATATGAACCTGTCAGGAAGTTTATCGCCAGAGCTCGGACGCTTATCTTATATGAAGATACTGTAAGGCACCACATACCTTGAAAGAAGCTTTAAATTCTTGGCCACTGTTCTCTCAGCATTACGGAAAACTTGTTAATCTCCTCCCTAATATGCCGGTGAATGATTTTATCTCTCCTCTGATGATATTCCTCCATCAATTCTTCTGATAGGGATTTTATGTGGAGCACAATAAGTGGAAGTATACCAAAGGAGATAGGCAACATTACATCCTTGGAACTTTTGTAAGTTAAGCTGTTCGGATATTTTTGGCAATATTTGGTTAAATCTCTATCTAATATTCTGTGTTTACAGGCTCCTTAATGGAAACCAGTTATCAGGTTCCTTGCCCGAAATGCTCGGTTATCTTCCAAACTTGGAGAGACTACAAATTGACCAGAACCAAATATCGGGATCAATACCTATATCGTTTGCAAATTTAAACAAGACAAAGCATTTGTAAGGGTTTTTCTGATGCTGCTTTAGTTTAAAAAGTGTAATATTATCTTGTGTTTGTTATACTTCCTCTCTTCCTTATGTTTCATATCTTTTCCCTTTTGAGCAGTCACATGAACAACAATTCAATAAGTGGGCAAATTCCACCGGAGCTTTCCAGATTACCAAGGCTTGTTCACTTGTAAGTAGAACGCCAGCAATATTCAGAATCTTCAACTTGGTTCATTAGTTTCAATTTACCCTCTTTTGGAACACCTCGAGTTGAATAAATGTATCGAACTCATTGCAGTCTTCTTGACAACAACAACTTATCTGGGTATCTTCCACCGCAGTTCTCGGAGTTGCCAAGCTTATTAATACTGTATGTTTCCTTACTTTTGGAACATATATTCGCACCTTAATTATCTGTTCATCCTTTCCTTTCTTGAATTTTCGCACTGTTGGTGAACAATTCTTTAGAATTTCCTTTTCTACAACAACAATCCCGTGTCGAGTTTCTTAGCCTTATCATCTTATTTGTCTTGCAGTCAACTTGACAACAACAACTTTGAAGGCACTACAATTCCAGATTCATATAGTGACATGTCTAAACTGTTGAAGTTGTACGTGCTCCTTCTGATTCTATTTCTTTTAGTTGGTTTAAAGGTAAAAGTGTGTAATATAGGGACTAGAATCTCTATTTATTCATAATTCATACATCAGATGTAAAGCCCCTGACTACGGAGGTGTAAAGCCAAAAGATTTGTGATTAATCTGCAAAAACAGAGAGAATCATAGTTTTTGTTGGGAAACACATATTTCAAACCACCGGGCAGGGAACATCTCCCGTTGATGTTTATATCACGTTAGGTGATATGCCCTGGTTGTTTGGAATGACAATCGAGAAGTATGGTCTACATCTAACATGACGAATCATGTCAAGATTGAATGTCTTTGTGTTTTTGTTGTTTATTTCAGGAGTTTGAGGAACTGCAACTTACAAGGGCCTATTCCTGATTTGAGTAGGATTCCAAACCTTGCTTATATGTAAGTTCATTCAAGAAGTTTCACTTCATACCCCATTAGTTGTTGTGATTTTCTGACTTTTCAAAATTCTTAGGATATAGTATACAATATGTTTCGACAGTATCTTAAGTGATTCGTTATTTGTTCATACCAATTTTCAGAGACCTAAGCTCAAATCAGCTAAACGGATCCTTGCCTCAGGGTACACTTTCTGATAACATCACGACGATGTAAGACGCTATCTACCTTGCAAATGATATGCCATATGTATTTTATATTTGACACTTAGTAGCATTTTCCTGTTAAATGTTCTCTAAAAAGCTTTGTTAAGCTTTGAAGATCATATAATCAATTCTAAAAGGATTACATGGATTTTTAATATTCAACGTATGAACTTTGTGCGCAGCAATTTATCTAACAACACTCTGACTGGAACAATTCCTGGCAACTTTTCGTATCTTCCTGATCTTCAGAGATTGTGAGCCACTTCAAACTGATCTTTTGGTGTTTTCGAGCTTCCGTCTATCTTACTTTGTGAACAGCAAGAGTTTGAAGTTATTATCTTTAAGATGTTATCAAATGTTTTAGCAGTGCCAATAATGAAAACTACGTCATGAAGTAAAGTGGGAGTTTATTCCGCATGGCAGGTCTATAGCAAACAATTCATTGAACGGCTCCATTCCAGGAACGCTTTGGGAGAACAGGAAACTCAACGAGGCAGAAAGACTAATTATGTAAGAACTGGAGTGAGAAAAATTGTTACTTCCATTGGTTAAGAGGGAGTGGTGTATGTGAATTTACACTCTCTAGTGTTAGGATGCTGGTGTTTATAAATGTTATTCCATTTCCTATTCCGATCATCCTTTTTCTTGACTAATAAGTTTTATAGCAACTTCTTGAAGTTTTGTTAAGAAGTGGAATGTGGCTTCTGATATTGTAGGGAGATGCAAAACAATAACCTTACTAATATTACCGGCAGCACTGTACTTTCGCAAAATGTCACAGTCTGGTTTGCTTCTGGACTTTGTTCTCTTTTAATATATCTCTAAGTGCAAGTTATGTTGTTCTTATGCTCCGTTAAACTTTCTCTTCTGATTATTATTGTTCAGGCTTCGGGGAAATCCGCTTTGCTCAAATGGCAACCTTGATAACTTCTGTGGAACCGAAGGTGATGATGAAAGTGATAGTCAGATTTCGACTTCCACTGTCAACTGTGTGATTCAAGTATGCCCACCCCCTTTCGAATATATTCCTGTAGCTTGTTTTTGTGCTGCTCCTCTAATTATTGACATTCGGTTGAAAAGTCCCGCATTCACAGATTTTAGCCCTTACAAAAGTACATTTGAGCAGCATCTTACTTCTGGTATCAAATTAGATCTCGATCAGCTGGACATTACTTCGTTTTTATGGGAAAAAGGACCTCGACTGATTATATCTCTGAAGCTTTTTCCTTTATATGTTGATAATGCCAATAATTCAAGTACTTTCAATAGAACTGAACTTAAAAGAATCATGAGTGTGTTCGCAACATGGAAAATTCCAGACAGTGACCTATTTGGACCCTATGAACTTCTCGACTTCATTCTACTGGATCCTTACAAGGACGGTTTGTCTTAAAAGCCTTATTTTTTCTAGATGGAAACTGTGTGTTGATTTTTATTTGTTGATCTCACGGCTCTTCTTGATGTCGCAGTGGTTGCCCCCTCTTCAAAGTCCAGTCTAGGCAAGGGTGCTCTAGCTGGCGTAATACTAGGGACTATTGCTGGTGCCGTTACACTATCTGCAATTGTTTCTCTTCTTATATTGAGAAAGCATTTGAAGGATCGCCATGCAATTTCAAGAAGACGTCGTAGTGAGTGTCTTACTATCATAAGGCAGAAGACATATTTGTATAAATGATCATATCCATGGGGCTTCTCCCGAGTTAGGAATCCTGAGAAGCCCCGCACCCAATTGAATTTAACAAGATTGAACTGGTACATCGGCTCTTGGTCCAAATAATTTCATTTTTAACATCGTGCCTTCGTTTATATGCAGCAACAAAGAGCTCCATAAAAATTGAAGGTGTCAAGGATTTTACTTTTGGAGAAATGGCCGTGGCTACAAACAATTTTAGCAGCTCTGCTCAAGTTGGACAAGGAGGTTATGGAAAGGTTTATAAAGGCATCCTGGCTGACGGAACCGTTGTGGCCATAAAACGTGCACAAGAGGGATCATTACAGGGCGAGAAGGAGTTTCTAACAGAGATAGAATTATTGTCACCCTTACATCATAGGAATCTCGTGTCCTTAGTCGGGTATTGTGATGAAGAAGGGGAACAGGTACCTTTGCTTATCCTTTCTGAATGTAGTTCTGCTGCATTTTTTTCTCCTCATCGTCTTGCTCTCTTTTGTTCTGTCGGAGTCAGACCAACAATTTTATTTGGGAAAAGCTTGACGTGTGTGTATTTTTGTGCGTGCAGATGTTGGTTTATGAGTTTATGTCCAATGGAACTCTAAGGGATCACCTTTCTGGTAAACCTAATACTCTTGTTGTACTGTCTGTGGTTCTTACTTCATCTCTGTCTGAATTGGTAGAGTAATTTACCGCTCGTAAATGTTTGACTAAGAATTTACAGTAGGGATTTCGGTTACATGCCATTCGACAAGCTTTATAATTGATGCGTGTCTCAGCAGCTAGGTCTAAAGAACCACTGGGTTTTGAGATGAGATTAAGAATTGCTCTGGGATCAGCCAAGGGCATCCTATACCTCCATACAGAAGCCAACCCTCCGATATTTCATCGAGATATCAAGGCCACCAATATATTACTGGACTCTAAGTTTATTGCAAAGGTTGCTGATTTTGGCCTTTCCCGTCTTGCCCCGGTTCCAGATTTTGAAGGGACTGTGCCTGCTCATGTATCCACAGTAGTGAAGGGGACACCGGTAAGACTCATAAGCATTGTACTTACCTAACTAATAGCTACGCAGGTTAAAAACTATCTTATTATTTGAATTGATTTTTCAGGGTTACCTTGATCCGGAGTACTTCTTAACTCATAAGCTAACGGATAAGAGCGATGTTTATAGCCTTGGTGTTGTGTTTTTGGAGCTCTTAACAGGCATGCAGCCAATCTCACATGGAAAAAACATTGTTCGAGAGGTAATTACTCGAACCTAATTACAGACTCTGTGTTTTTGATAACACTACCATCTTCTATGCTTTGCATGTAAGGATATAACGTCTTAGTCAAGACCGCCTGGTTGACGCTAATTAATCCCTGTGATCGACTAGATGCACCAGTTTAGTGTTATTTACAAGTTTTTTTTTTGCACTTCAGGTAAACATTGCATTCCAATCCGGTATGATCTTCTCAGTTATTGATGGAAGAATGGGGTCTTATCCTTCCGAGTGTGAGGAAAAGTTCCTGAGTTTGGCTCTGAAGTGTTGCCGAGATGAGACAGACGCGAGACCCTCAATGGCGGAGGTTGTTCGAGAACTCGAAAACATATGGTTTATGATGCCGGAGTCTGACAGCAGAACATCGGAATCAGTGACGAGCAGTAGTGGTGGAAAGGTAGTGACTCTTCCACCCTCATCCAATGCAGCGAGGCATCCTTGCGTCTCTATAGACGTCTCTGGCAGTGACCTTGTTAGCGGAGTCGTACCGACAATTACACCAAGATAGAAACCGTAGAGAGAACTATAGCCGCATTTGACTTGGATTTTTGTGAAGATTGGGGAGGTAGAGGAGTGCATTTTTTTTTTTTTTGGGGTATCCTTTTGATGTAAAACTAGTATACTTTGGACAGTCAAAACAGTTGCATACTTGCATACAAGAAACTAAAATCTTTTGCCATAGATAAGATAATTCAGGAATGTTTTCTTCCAGTTTGTTCAACTTGAGTATGAAAATACAATTAACGTTTTGAGTTCGCAAGGGCAGGAGGGACGAGGAGAAACGGAGAGGGAAGGGCGGCGCTACGGGAGGCAGCTAGTTAGGAGGTGGTGGTTGTACTACAAAAAATATGGCCACTGCGCACAATAAATTATTAGTGCTCTTTGAGGCCAAAGAACACCAACATATGTGCCCATAGACTAATAGCAATAGTGCGGCAACTATATATCTATTTGTGCCCTCTATAGGCGTTGCCTTCGCTAAAAGAGCATAATAGACAGTTTGGTGCTCAACGAGGCAGACACAAATGAACCACTATTTGTGCCTCGTTTCTGACAACTTGTCAGATCACCTTTTCCAGACAAGTTGGCACTTCATATTGTAATTGTGCCAACATGAATTAAATATTAAAAAAATCAAAATTTGAAACTAAAATTGAGGAAATGAAAATTTTTAATTTTCTTAAAAAGAAAAGGCCTGCAACACATTCCCAATCTCACAAACATAATGTAATGTTACATATTTTATCTCTAATACAATAAAACTTGAAAGCACATATTTTTGGGCACATGCACTTTCCCCAGCAAGCCTTGCACCTCATTAGAAGCCATAACAAATGTAGTCAAATTCAAAACAAGATCAGTCCAAAATTACACCTAAAAAGGAGTTAGTTAAAATCAATACGTACAAGTTTCAGATCTGCCATATCAAAGATTCATATTCCTCACTTTAGATTGTAAAAGTAGCTTTTGGGTCTGAGACAACACATTTCTTCAGCTCATAGTCACCTGAATCGAAAAAATATGTAAGTTTGCATATTATTTAGGGTCAAAGTGAGTTGCTTATTTTAATTACATGTCTAGTATACATCATCAATAAACCTACAATTTTAAAGGAGAAATGAGTCTTAACAGTTGGAAACAATGAATAAATAGAATATTCACAAATATACAACTAAACAATGGAGAAAATGAGTCTTAACTATCAGTGATACTTAAATCTTCAAAGCGTGAAATGTCCAAATGGGGAGGTCAGCTTGCTGGTACTTCCAAATCTCTGGTAACAAGACAAACACACAAACAAAGGCCAGTATTCTTTAGTCTTTAGTAAGAATAATTAAAGAAAAAAGTGCATCTTGTATACAATTCTAAGAAGACATAGTATAACTAGAATGCAAAACAGCAGACCCCTCAAGCCATTTCTCCTTGCAGAGATTGATAAAAGCATTTGTATATCTTCTAAAGATACCATCCAAACGATCCACCAAAATATCAATACCTTGTAGATCAGGCAATTAAACTATGGGTAAGGCAAAAACAAGCTTTTATGATTTAGTTCTACAAACCGATTTAGTTCTACAAACTGAATCATACGATATCCATTAGCTCATCTCACTAGCATACCTCACACAAATTAAGAATTTAGATCTCTCTCTTTAGCTGCCCAAATCTCCAAATTCTTGAGCTTCGACCGCAGAAATCTAGAGAGTATCTCGAGTTATGCTCCATAGCCCTTGCTTTCAAAAGTGCCGTTTGGTTATTTATTTTCCTTAAATAATCTTTTGAATTTTTTTTACATGTGGTTGAATTACAGACTGCAGGTTTTTTAATCTGTTGATTAGGATAGATAATACCGATTTGATAAATAATATTAATTCGTGCCATATATATAGGGCCGGACTTAATAGACAATACACATGTCATGCAAAAACATGCTGGTTGACGAGGACCGAATTTTACGTGTTCCCAATTGATTATTATTCTTGCAATAGTTATGTTAGGATTGGATTATTCTTGCAATGGTTATCAAGTTGGTAGGAGCAGTGTGATTTTCCGTTTAAATTTCCTTTCTACAATATAGATAAATTTAGTGTAAGAATTTTGTTTTGATTGTCGAACAATTAGTAAATCAGGAGCGGTCATAATTAAAGATGAAATGAGAGAAAATCAGTTAAGATGGTTTGAACATGTTAATCGATGACCTACAGATGCTCCAGTTAAAAGATGCAAATATGATATAGATGCTCGTGGTAAAAAAGTAGATGAAAACCTAGGAAGACTTGGAAATAGACTCCAAGAAAACACATGAAGCAGTTTGAGCTTACGGAAGATTTGAAGCAAGACCACGTGCAGTGATGTTTTAAAATTCATAGAACCGACTCTTCTTTGTGGAATAAGACTTTGTTGTCATTATCAGACAATCCATATTTAAGTAACTCAAATGGACCGTCTTCGTCGAATGAGGATCCTCTCCGGATCTTCTTTGGGATTCTCAAATCACATTTGTTTATCATACATTGTGTGGTCATAAATCATTATAATTTTTTTATTTAAAATAGAATATAAACAGTACCTGACAAAAACTGACCGTAGGATGTACGATAACCGAATGTGATTGAAGGATCCTCGAGATCGTCACAAAGAGGATCCTCATTCGTCTTCGTCTAGCTAAACGATTGAATTTTAACTAATTGCCTTCATAAATAGTACCTCTACTTCTTGTTCTAATAGGCCAAGCTGGTTTATTTGGCCACCTAATTATATTGTGTAATACTTTATGGTAAAGAGATAGTTAATGAGATGTGGAATCACTTTTCAAAAATGGGGTCAAGTTGAAACTCTTAGCAATGTTTATGGATTTATAAGTCTTGTTTTACTTTGTCTTATAATTTTCAATCCAATTCTGATCTCTCTAAACTTTTATTTCGTTCATGTCAATGTCCCTCTCTACCATTAGTTTTATCAATTATCCAGTCAAACTAACGATTGTTTTTGTTCATTTTGCATAACGAAATCGTTTGAATTTGCTGCGCAAGTTTCGGTTTCTCTAATTTTTTTTCTTTCTCATAACTCAATTATCATAATTCTTAATATTTACTAATTTTTGTTGTGAATAAGATAGCATTTTGTTGATGTCTATAAGCCCTAAAAGTTATATTCATCATAGGTGATGGAAATAACTAAGAATTGTGACATAATTAATAGTTGGGAGGATATTGACACGAATTGAAAGTTTTAACTAATGGATTCAAAACTAATTGTTAGTTTGAAAGGCAAATCGAACATTGTCCAAAGTTCTAGGAAAATTCTTGTGTCCACTCTTAACACGATGGTATTTGTACGCTCATCCATGCATGCAATCAAGAGAGACTGCTTGGTTGAATAGGCATACATATGAACTCGTCCTGCAGGTGAACCCAAAAATCCTCCCCTAACCTGAAACGAAAAGTTTTTCCTTTGTTTATTTTAATCAAACTAATTTTACGAGAATCTGATTCCTAATAGTTAGTAGACACTTTATTTGAATGCGACTTCTTTTCAGCATGATTCGTGACAAATAATTAGTAAACGTCATCATGAAAATACCGTTGTGTTCACTTTGATCACTTCAAAACTCGAATGATGTTCACTTTGATCACTTCAAAACGGTCTCTCCCGCTCATTGGGTCGTTGGCCGTTTCCTCAGACGTCAGTTTCTTGTCTTCCCCTCCTTGGTTGTAAACAATTACAAACTCTCACCAACTCCCCTTTCGTTTATGCATTTTTTATACAAAGAAGATTTCTCTAAATTGTAAATAAATAAAAAAATTAAAAAAAGAGTAATGGAAAAGAATGGGCTGTATCATCATCGCCCTCATCAACTTCAGTCATCTACGCAGCATTAGCTATGGCGGACCTGGTCCTGGTCAGAAAAATACCAAGCCCAAATCCCGGGTAACTTTTCTTCTATTATTTTCATGCTATTAATCTTCTCACAGTTGGCAGTATATTCAAATAAAATTCAACCCAAAACCAAAAGCTTATCTCGTTTTGCATCATTGGTTTTTAAATTTCAAAGCTTTGAATTTGTCAATGGTATCAATATCTCCGTTTTGCTATGTTTCTGTGAGTTTCTGGCAGTTCTGTTTTCTTTATTTCGTATCCAAGCTGTCTGCCGTATGAATTTTCACTTTAGATTCTGAATCTGGTATATTTTGTTCTGAAGTTGTTGGAGCTTATTGCTTTTAGTGTTGAATTGCTTGAAGACTTGAGATATCAGTTCACTTTGTAGTGTTGAAGCTGTGCTTTCAATATGTTGGGTTGCTTTCTGATTCAATTTGCTTTCTTTTTTTATGCTTGCTATCAGGGGGAGTGTTCCAATCCTGCATAAATTTCTGCCGTTGTGTTGTAAGGGGTAAATTACAATTGTAGTGATTTTTGAGGTATCGGGATGCATCAATCAAGAGTTTGGACATATGCATTTGTTTTCGCCACCTTCCTGTGCTGGTCTTCGCCACGAGCTGCAGCACAAAATTCTAATATCACCCGTCCTGGATGTTGGGCAAATTTGTGGACTGACATTAAACCTGCTTTTCCAGTTTTGTGTGAAAAAACAAAATTTCATGAGTCATGAAGTCTATTATTTTGAAAGGTGGGTTATTTGTGTTTGGAGCTTGTTCCTAAAGGGAAAATTAGCCAGTTTTCCAATATTTGGCGGATAATCATTAAAAGCTTTCAAAGAGGTGGTTCATATATGGTCTACAAAATGTGGCATTCCAAATATTTTTCTTCTATTAAGAGTTTTTTTTTTGGTAAAATTATATATAAGCGTAAGTGTTATGTATAAAAGTAGTCCTAAACAAACGTCAGACTAATAAAGAACTAGTCTTACCCATTATACATAAGAATTGACCCAGTCCATTCAAAATATTGGATTAGCCCAATGGTCCCAAGGCCCAATTCTTAGGGTTTCGTTTCTTTCTATATTTTTTGGGTCTGCAAGCTTATGGCATGAGATTGGTGAACGGTGATGAGTTTTGAGAATTGAGATCCACTCCTGATCTATGTGTTGAATCCTGCGAAATTAGAGATCTGAACTACTCAATTTCAATTTTACAGTTCTCATTAATCAATCACACTCACTTGGTCCTAACCTTTCTCTCTCTTGAACGGTCCGGATTTTGGGTATGCGGGTTTTGAACACAAAAATTATGAGCGGATCTCAATCCGAATTTTGGTCCAA